AAGGCGATAAAAAAAGGAAAAAAAAGTGGCAAACCTGTAAAGGAGAGTTCTACAACCTTGTTCCAAATATTCCTAATCTCACTGACTATTCTGAAGGCTAAAAAAAAAGCTGAACAAATGCCTAATTGATCTACAGATCTTTTTGGAAAAAGTAGAGAAGTTTCTAGCTAATACAACACAGAAGAGTGTATCTGAAAATCGTGTGCCATTAATTAACTCCAAATACTCTGGAAATTCCATCAGGGGAAATGTACTTTGACCAGATCAGTGCAACAGTCCCACCAGAATTCCAGCTACAGAAGAAGGAAAATCACTGCATCTAGTGTGACCTCTAGTGTGAGTAAGACTGTAGTGAAGAATGGTAAGGTATAATGTACTTTCATAGAATGGTTTGGGTGGAAGGGACCTTTAAAGGTCATCTAGTCCAACTCCTGCAATGAGCAGGGATATCTTCAACTAGATCAGGTTGCTCAAAGCCCCGTCCATCCTGACGCTGAATGTTTCCAGGGACAGGGTGTCACAGTTTCCTCGTTGCGACAATCTAGGAGAAATGATGCATCGCCAGGGACTTGCCCTGGGGAGAAAATGGACCAACACAGATACTGTGGATCAAGCGATTTCTCCATTTATTTGCTGCGTAACATTCGGTTATATACCATAACCATGCGCAAGCCATCTACTGATTGGTTAACATGTGCTGTTCATGCGCCTAAAGCAATAGTTAGATTGGATAAGGTCTTCTGATCACGCGAATGATTCCTCCTGTCTGTGTCTTGCCTGGTGTCCTGTTTTCCGTCACATAGACCTGACTTCATTTTACTTTTTGTGCTTGCTTCATCAAATTTGTAGCAACAGTTGACCTTCGCAGCATTCTTGAAGTCTGCTGCTTGCAGAGGCCTCTGACTCACAGATTGAACAGTCCCATTGTGTCTCTTGTTCTCTCTGTGTCTATTTTTCTAATTATCCCACAACAGGGCAGCTACCACCTCTCTGGGCAACCTCTTCCAGTGTTTCACCAACATCATCATAAAAAATTCCTTCCTTATGCCCAGTCTAAATCTACCCTCTTTCAGTTTAAAACTATTACCCTTGTCCTATCGCAACAAGCCCTGCTAAAAAGTCTGTCCCCATCTTTCTTAGAAGCCCTGTTTAAGTATTGAAAGGCTGCAATAAGGTCTCCCCAGAGCCTTCTCTTCTCCAGGCTGAACAATGCCAATTCTCTCAGCCTGTCCCCATAGGAGAGCTGTTCCATCCCTCTGACCATTTTTGTGGCCCTCCTCTGGACCTGATCCAACAGGTCCATGTCCTTCTTATGTCAGGGACCCCAGAGCTGGATGCAGTACTCCAAGTGGGGTCTCACCAGAGCAGAGCAAAGGGGCAGAATCCCCCACCTCAACCTGCTGGCCACACTTCTTTTGATGCAGCCCAGGATACGGTTGGCTTTCTGGGCTGTGAGTGCACATTGTCGGCTCATGTCCAGTTTTTCATCCACCAGTATCCCCAAGTCCTTCTCTGCAGGGCTGCTCTCAATCCCTTCATCCCCTAGCCAGTATTGATACTGGGGGTTGCCCCAACCCAGGTGCAGGACCTTGCACTTGGCCTTGTTGAATCTCATGAGTTTCACATGGGCCCACTTCTCAACCTTGACCAGGTCCCTCTGGATGGCATCCCTTCCCTCAGGTGTGTCAACTGCACCACTCAGCTTGGTGTTGTCTGCAAACTTGCTGAGCATGCACTCAATCCCACTGTATATGCACTGATGAAGATATTAAACAGTACTGGTCTCCATACAGATCCCTGAGGGACACCATTTGTCACTGATCTCCATCTGGACATTGAGCCGTTGACTACTACCCTCTGCACGCAATCATCCAGCCAGTTCCCTATCCACCAAACAGTCCATCCATCAAATCCATATCTCTCCAGTTTAGAGAGAAGGATGTCATGGGAGACCATGTCAAAGGCCTTACAGAAGTCCAGAGAAATGACATCTGCAGATCTTCCCTAGTCCACTGATACAGTCACTCCATCACAGAAGGCCACTAGGTTGGTCAGGCAAGACTTGCCCTTGGTGAAGCCATGCTGACTGTCTCGAATCACCTCCCTGTGCTCCATGTGCTCCATAGCTTCTAGGAGGATCTGTTCCATGATCTTCCCAGGCACAGAGGTGAGGCTGACAGGTCAGTTGTTCCCAGGGTCCTCCTTTCTACCCTTTTTAAAAATGGGTGCAATGTTTCCCTTTTTCCTGTCACTGGGGACTTCACCTGACTGCCATGACTTTAAGTACCATGGAGACTGGCTTGGCAACTACATCAACCAATTCCCTCAGGACTCTGGGATGCATCTTGTCAGGTTCCATTTTGCTAACCACAGGTTCATTTGTCTACTTCAGACGTTCTTGAAGTGTGGTTTACTTTCTTAACTTGGAGATCAAGAGAGCTGATGACAGTTCAAGAAAAAATGTTCCTCAAAGCTGCTAAAATACTGGGGTTTTGCCATTAAACCAAGCCATGGTCAAAAAATAAACCAAAGAACCTTTACGGAATCTAAGCCAACATAAACTTAGAGGAACTAAGTAGATCTTTAACAAATTTGCAACATCTAGGATTTTTTCCACAGAAGTTCTTAGCTTTAATTTATATAGCTAAAAGCAAGTTTTGTGTATCATATCTAAGTGCCACAGTCTCTTGTTTAAAGGCAGTGAGAAATTATTGGGTTTTTTATTGACATGGAAAAAAGATGCTTAGCTATATTAACTACACCTGAAAAAAACACCTTCTTTGCTCCTTCAAGTTAATCTGTAATCAGGAGATGACTTCCAAAGTACCTCCTTTGTGCCCCAGTCCTTTGCTATCTAGGATAATAAATTTTGCTTTCATATGTCAAAAAGCAGTGCAGAAAAAAACCACAACTGGTATATGTTAATCTAAACTGAGTAATCAAAGGATACATTCATAATGCTGTATCTTCAGAGAGGTAGTCTAAAGAACCAAAGGAAAGAAAACAACTTTTGAGGGCAAGAGGTGCAATCTGAGAAGGAGAAGGGCTCTTTGCCAGGAACCTTGCAAAGGGATGCCTGTCAACAGCTGGCTCTGCCCAGACTCAGGAGGCCAGGATTCACAGAAATCGGCATGAGAAGAAACTGCTCCTCTTCCTTGGCAAACTCCTCATCCAGAGGGCAATAGTCCCTGTATATACATACAGGAGGCTCTATTGTGCTCTGAAGTACAGCGGCAGAAATCTAGAGCCCTCAAGCTTTTAAAGCATTCAGGCCAAACATGCAGTTGGTGTCTGCGAGCAGGCCAGACCATAGCACTGGTATGCCTGCGTGGGCAGTTTTTCCTGGCTGAAGCTGAGATGCTGCTTAAGAGGAAGCCCCACATCTACTTCTCCTGCCTAGCTCAGATGGGTGGGAGATGGTGCTGGCCTCCCAGCCATTAGTACTTAGCTCAGGCGGTCCCTGAACACAGCCCCGCAGTGGGGTATTTACAAGCCCCCCCACCCGAGGCAGAGTGGTGATGTGCCATGCCTTGGTTCGTACCCTGGCAGGCCATACGCAAGGTTTGATATGCACCTGGCTTAAGTGTCTGTCTGCATGTTCTCAGCCCCTTGGTGAGTGCACAGAGCATGAAGTCTCTGTCCAAGAGGGACACGGGCAACTGGGCAGTTACAGGCAAATGCTGGGGAGACTGTGCAACATGGCTGCTGATATGGTGAGTGCTGTGCCCTGGATGCATATTTTGCAGCAAGGGGCGCAGAACTTCCACCTGTCCCAGCAGCAGCAGGGGCCTGTAGGCACCTGGCAAAAAAGGCAGTGGGTTTCAGTCTCTTGCTGCAGAAGAGCCCTAGCTTCTGGAAACACTGGATGCTGCTGCAGGTGGGAATGCAAAGCAGATGGGGTGAGTGAAGAGCAGGATGTCTCTGGTCCTATTCACTATCTTTCCTTTGATCTCAGAAGCACATTTTGACTTGACCACCTGTAAGTCCTGGCTATTGCTTTCTCCTAACAATGTAGGCAGGGCTTAGGAGGGAAACCATGTAATAATATAGCAAAACTATAACAGCAATATATGTGCATATGTCAATCAGACTAATATAAAGTATAAAAACTGGATAACCAATAAAATGAACTTTTTTGTGCAATGGGCTTGGGCTGGCTTCAGCCCACATATTCCTACCCAGTGACTGGGGATGCTTATCTCCAGCCCCCACTGTCTTGAAGGCCTCCCCTGAAATCCCTCCAGTTTGTCAATGTCTTTCCTGTATGGAGGGCCCAAAGTGGACACAGTACCCAGGTGAGGTTTGACCTTTGGACTGAGCCCTATTCACACCACCCTGGGTACTGCTGGCCCTTATTGCTGCCTGGGCACAAGGCTGTTCCCTGCTCAGGTCACTGCCCATCAGGGCCCATGGCCCCATCCACGGCATAGTCCCATCACAGCCATGTTGGAGCCTGCCAGGGAGAGGCAGAACAGTTACCCAGACCTTGGGTAAATGCTCACATCCACATTCCCCACCTCTCAGGCTGGATCCTGTGTCTGCAGTGGGGAGTTATTTCTCAGCATTGAAATTAGTAGCTGAAAGAGGGAGAACTACAGCTTATAGAGAAGCAAGCACCTGCCTTTATTTCACAGTTAACCTCACAGTAGAGATGGAGATTCATTCACTCCTTATTGTGAGAGCATGACCTTACACATTTTTGCCTCAGTTTTGCATCAGGACACTCCTTCATACATGACTTACTTCACTGCAGTGCTTGTGGACCTGACATACCTGTCCTGTTTCCATTTCCATGACTGTATCTGCCCCTGAGTCTGGGAGGATTAAGAGCAGAGAGGGTGGTCTATCCAGAAATGCATCTGTCGGTCACTCTGTATCTACCTCTATTTTGTGGTCAGTACACTCTTCTGAACACAGCTCTACAAAGCAAAAGCATGTGCAGTGAAGTGACTTCTCAGAAGTAATAAAACCAGAAGCAAAACCCACCTTAAACCCTATACCAGTTTTCTTCTAGGCCCTGTTCTGATGCCCTGTTCTCTGTAAAGTCTGCTACACTGATGGGAAATGTTTTGAAAAATGACATCTCAGTCAGCATATTTCGGAAGTCAGAGTCTAGACCATCAGGTTTCAGCTTATAGAGTAAACAGTTCTGGATAGAGCTAACTGTGATAATACAAGTGCAAAACAGGACACTAACAGCATTAGCACTGTCAAGTGTTACCAAAACCTATTTTTCTTCATTGCATGTTTGTCCCAGGAGGACATGGCAAAACATAGACTGTGGGATAAGCTGAGTTGAGCGAGCAGTGTTCTGCTTCCAGCTCCACCGGAAATGCCCTTGAGCTAAGAACATTGCTCTCAGAGCCTGTGCTTAATGTGCATGTGAAGGGCATATGGTTAACATCTGCTGTGAATTTTATTTTGCAAATCACCAAACTTTTGGGAAGTCTTCCAGCAGGAAAACACTGCCATAGTATCTTGACCACTCAGAAACTCCTCAGCTTTTCACAGATGCAGTAACACATTAAGGAAAAAGAATCAGCAGCCCCAGCCTGTGATGATCCTCTGTCCATCTCCACACCTGTGGAGCTGTCTACGGGCACTAGTGACTCCTCAGCTGAGGGATACAGAAGGCAAGCAATCTCCTTCCCAAATACTTCCATGCAGTTGTTAATAAGGAACTCCACCAGCACTTTCACCTGCACACATAAAACCACTGATTTCAATCCAAGGGGCAGAAAATCCATCAGCCTTTCTGACTCCTGACCCTTTCTTATGTGCAGAAAGCTGCATCCATGTCGATGCTTTTATGGAAAGCTCCTCCACAAGCATTCAAGAGAGGAGACAGCAAGGTACCCCTCAACAGGAATGCTCTGATTGGCCCAGATTGGTGGAGCTGGTTGATAAATTCAGTGTATCTTGTCTTTTACCTCCATCAGCACCTCCAGCAAGAGCAGGTTCTCCTCACTTAATATATTTGGTCCAATGCAGATGGCAAGATTGCTGGAGTCCATCCTGCTTCTTGATGAGTTTTGCTTGATGTGGTGCAGCAGAGACAGCAACCATTGGAGGATGAGAAGATTGGCTCTAGGCAGTTTGTCAGCCACCCTAAGAGAACAAGAACATAATGTAACACCACTCCAGTGGCTGCTACTTCTTTAAAAGAGCGTATTTCATTAAACTTGTAGAAATGACATGACTTCTAAAGAGAGGAAAGCATGTGCTTTTTCCATGACTTAGCAGCACTACCTTTCAAAAATCACCACCAACAGCCAGTAGTGGGTTAACTGTAAGGTCCACACTGACATGCTAGCATTACTGAAGCCCATGTCTTTGAGGAGATCAACATTAATAAATCATATGTTGTCAAGAGAAATCACTGCAGGCTTTGCTAAAGCAGATGAAAGCCTGCAATTGCGCTGTGTAGCTTTCAAGGTACTCTAAGCCAGCTTTCAAACGTACTTTTCAGGAAAGAAGCATGGTCGTGGTTGCAAGCTCCTGGTTTCACTCAAGCCATCTCAAAGGTAGACTTGTTGTCCATGCCTGATTGACAGCAGAGGGACTACTTTCACTAAGACAATGCAACTGCTGGCCACTCCTTACAAGAGTCATTTTGTGGACCAATCTCAAGTGCCTTAAGGAAGTGTTCTGACTAAAGAGATGCTTTTCTGTGCCACCTTCCCCCTAAATCCCACTCCACAGCAGCAATAAACAGCTGTCAGAACCAACAGGATTTTACAGGAAACTGTCAATTTGCACGGAAGTCCCAGGCCTCTACTAGTCCCTCCATACTGGTGGCACTACTTGCAAAACTCACTATTTCAGTTCTTCCAATCTCTCCTTCTCGCTAAGGTTCTCCAAAGGTCACATCCAGTCCTTGATAGAGGTAGGCCAACAAGGGTTTCAAGGGCACGTTTCAGAGTAAGTCCTGCAATGCCAAGAGCTTCAGATAAGGCTTTACGCTCCCCCTGATATCACAGGGAACATCCCAGTGACCCTGGGCAGGAGGCAGGATGGTTTCAGCGACCTTCTCTCAGAGCTACCCTTCAACGCTGACAGAGCAGGCAGCTGCCAGGGTATGGACCAAGCAAACTCACATTAGCCTGCTAACAGGACTCCCTGCTCTTCTCTGCCCTCTGTTCTCCACTAAATCTCAGTGTGTCTTCCTGAGGAGAACACTCAGGAAGACCATGAAGTGAGTTTCCCATGGGCATGCCAGAAACCAGGGGCAGAACAAGAGGAACAGAAAAGAAGACAGAAGAAAACCACCAAACTTGGAATTCTAAGTCCGAGAATTGGCTACACTGTGGCTTTAGCATGGGCTCCAAGCTAGGTCAGAGCCAGTCACTGGAGTGGGACCTGCAGCGTAACAGGGAGCTCTTGCAGCCTGAAATCAAAAGAATTCACCTTCTCAATCACTGCCAGCAGGTGCACAGTTTGGCTTTCCCAGTCAACATCCCCTGCTGTGCCTAGGGCCTTCTTCAGCTCCCAGTGTGCTTTCTTGCTGATTGCTAGTCCAAGTATTCCCTCAGCTGATGGCCCCTTCACGTGCAATACATCCAGGAGTTCCTGCAGGAATCATGGGAGAACGGGCACTTTGATGAAGAGAGGCCCTGTGGCATGTAAACCTCTCTTAAGAAACAGAAACAAGTTTGGACAGGGAGGCACACTCTGCTTTCACTGGGATAGGATCTAAATGTTGCTCCAGCGAGATCATGTTGGGAGAAGCCTCATCTTCCACCAGCACAGAAGTCATTTTGTGCTGGGGAACTCCCCTCACCGCCTTGAAGACAGTCCTGCTTCCTTCCTGGAGGTTTCTGATGCTGAGAAGCATTCTTTGAAGGATTTCTGTGAGACCACAAAGATTCATGCAAAAGACCAGATCTACTTGTCTTATTCACAGCTCTGGGTTTTCTCCCCTGGAGCTTTCTTCCAACAGAAGTGGTCTGGGCCAGACAAGCCTGGACGTGGCTCCTGACATGTTTAGGCTGCAACCTAACCTGCAAGGTGTGGCTGTCATAAGTGTGTGCTGGGAGGAAAACACCTAAATCACCCATCTCCTGAAGTCCATGGTATCTTTCCTAGGAATGCTGCCTCTCAGGAGAAGCCCAAGGGATGGGTACTCCCTTGCCAGGCTTGCTTGCCTGGATCAGCTGGGACAATGTGTCATTTCCCCACAGGAACTAGAGGCTGGACAAAATGCCCTTCTGCAGCCAGATCCCGACTGCCCTGGCACATCTGCAGCAGTAGAGGTCTGTCATAGAGCAAAGGGACAGCATAGCACCTTCGTTCTCTTTGTGGTTTCACCTGCTGCAAATGAAAACAAAAATCAGTTTTAAAAAAAACAGGTGAGTGCTCTCCTACCCTCTCCTGTGTGCCATGCAGCCTTAAGCAGTACAGCAGGAAAAGCAGGGGGCAAACAGTTAAAACTGCAGCTCAGACTCAATGGCATCTGTGGCTCCTCAAAGGCAGTGTGCCATCACAGACTGTCCCAGATCTCGCCCTGCCCTGCTGATGCTCTTCTCCAGGGTGGTCACAGCAGCAGAGGTTGTGTGTACTCAGCAAAACAAGTTCAGCTGCTGCTGCCAAGGTGGTTTCCTTGCTCTTGCCAGAAACGTCCTTACTTGGGTTGCCAGACTTCTGTTGCAACACTCCTGGGAGAAGTAAGCACAGCTCCTTCTGCTGAGGAACATGGACATACATGGCTCTGACGACCAGAGCAGAGGGAGACACCACATGTAGGTCCCAGCACTGTCCTCCCTGCCGCCGAGCACAAGGGAGAGAGGTTGTTTGGATGGCAGGGACCCTCTGAGGGCTCAGCTCTCTCACTCTGCTGTGTGCTGAGGGCTGTGACTTGCTCTGCATGAAAGGCAACATGCAGCATGAGTTCAACTGAAGGGGAGGAAAGATGGCTGTTCCTCAGGTCCTTTTTTAACCTCTCCTGGCAGAGCCCACTTTCACTGCCCGAGGGGACCAGCAGTGGACACTGTGTGGTGTCAGCCTGCAAGAAGCTTGTGAGGGTTACAGAGCAGCCCCTCAGCACAAAGGGCCACCTGCCAGCTGCCTTGGCCAGGTGGGAACCTGCCAGAGGCAGGGAGGGAGGGAGCGTAGAGCCTTCCTGTGGCCAGCCAGAAGTCCCGCCCCCTGTCACGTGCTCTGTTGTGATTGACTGCCAGGACCAGCCTCCCCTTCCAATCTACCCAGTGGTACATCAGAACAGGAAGTCCCTCCCCTCTGTGCACAGGAGCCTCCATTTTGTTTCAGCCACCATTTTATGGCAGGGAGCTGCTACTGTCTTGCCCTGTGATTGGCTGGTTGCTCTTCCACCCATGTGTCCTTTGGCCTCCCTCTGATTGGCTCCCTGCTTCCGGTGGAACAGGAGGTGCTCAGCTATGGGTCTACAGGAGTGGATACATAAAGGAGTGTATGACTATGTATAAATAAATATTTTATTTACTTATACATAGATACACTAGTTTTTATATATATAATATACCTACATTTATATACTTGTATATTGAATATGTATATATGTACATGCATTTATAAAGATACAGAAATTGAATACACTTATACCTGTAAAAGCATAGGTATGAAGTAGCTAAACATCTTTTACTAACACCTAAAGGAACAAATAATAAAGTTTTAATGTCAACAAAAAGTAATAAAATAAAAGGCAGGTTCGCCCTCCCCACGCACAGGTGCTGTGGGGCTGCAGAAGAAGCACCAACACGTCAGGGGACACCAGGAGAGGGAGCATGGACTCCTCCAAGGAGCTGACCAAGGGGGGCCCTCTGGATCAGTAGGAGCACTGCTGTGTTGCAGAGCTTTTCCACTCAGACCATGATTATTTTGGGGCACAGAGGAGTGGCAGGTGGGACCGTGGTGATAACGGGGCTGGTGGGGCTTCTTCTGGGGCCTTGGCTTACGAGCCAGCAAAGCAGTAAAAATGGTTACAGCAAAGTACTAATGAGGAAAGGTAAATGAATTTTACATCACTTCAAGCATCAGGGTGGCAAGGGGACAAAAGGGCCCTTAAGTGCAGACTGGCCCACATGGTGAATGTCTCACATCGGGGCAAAAGGTGACCCCAGGAGTGCATCACCCTCCTGTCCAAGGGGAAAAAGGGTTGGAGGATCTTTTAAGCCAAACAACAGTCTTAGATATGCCAAGAGCAGTTTCCTCCTTTTACACAGTGAACATTATTATGGTGGTAGGGATGTCAGAAAGGTATTTGGAATAAGAAAGCTTTGTGGGCTTTGTCATACACTCTATAACTTTGGCCACAGCTGTAAATATTATTGCTGGCTCTGCGGGGACAAGGGGAAGGTGCTCTGGCTGTAGGTCTGGGGAGTTTTTACAAAAAGGCACAAGGCCCTGGCTATTAAAAACCAAACCAATTGTTTGGCTATGATTTTCGGTGAGACATTGTTGTGGTTTGCCCCCAGCCAGCAACTAAGCACCACGCAGCCACTCAATCACTCCCCCCACACCCAGTGGGATGTAGGAGAGAATCAGAAAAAAAGTAAAACTCATGGGCTGACATAAGAACAATTCAATAGAACAGAAAGGAAGAAAATAATAATGCTAATAATAACAATAATAAAATGACAGTAATAATAAGAAAAGAGTTGGAATATACAAAACAAGTGATGCACAATGCAATTGCTCAGTACCTGCTAACTGAAGCCCAGTTAGTTCCCAAGCAGCGATCCCCCCCAGCCCCCCCCCCCAGTTTATATACTAGACATGACACCACATGGTAAGGAATATGCTGTTGTCCAGTTTGGGTCAGCTGTCCTGGCTGTGTCCCCTCCCAACTTCTTGTGCCCCTCCAGCCTTCTTGCTAGCTGGCCATGAGAAGCTGAAAAATCCTTGACTTTTAGTACAAACATTACTGAGCAACAACTGAAAACATCCTTGTGTTATCAACATTCTTCTCATACTGAACCCAAAACGTAACACTCTACCAGCTACTAGGAAGAAAGTTAACTCTATCCCAGCCGAAACTAGGACAGACATGTAAGGTCTGTAAAAAACCATCATGAATGTAAAGGCTGGAAGTGTGCAATGTGCTGGAAACAAATCTGTAATGTAAACAAGCACCAGGTATCAAAAATCATAGAATCATAGAATCATTTAGGTTGGAAAAGACATTTAAGATCATCAAGTCCAACCATAAATCATGCCTGTGATCAAAAATCCAGGAGCAGGGCAGGGTTATGTTGTCTATGACATGGAACATATGCAGGAAACTAGGACACATTTCCCAAACTAGATTTTTACATGGAGATAGCCCTGGATGACCCTTCAGCTGAAGAAGGGGCAGAAAAGAAAATTGAAAGAAAACGGGAGTTTAAAGGTGACATACCTTGTGCACTTTTTTCAGTTGTTATTGACACAGAGTTCAGGGCTACACTTTCCTAGCGCACAATACCAAAGGCTTTGATGGCTACTTTATTGTCAGTCAGTTTCTGAAAGAAAAAATGGATGTGCTGTTAATCACCCAAGCTGGTAAACTCATGTGTATACATGTACCTAGCTTGCATATATGTTTCATAGAGTCTTTAAATTTTTTACCCACAAAACAAAGCAGTCTCCGCAACACTTTGGGTATTGAAAGCTGCAATGGTTATTTATCCCATTTTTTCAAAACTGCTGAAAAAGACCACCTAAAGAGAACATATTTTAACACATTGATGAGCACATGAGCAGGTTACAGTGACAAAATGGGATGGTGAGCTTGCAGAGTGCTCAGTCAGGACTAAACTGCCTACACTGTTGGTCCCCAGAGATGCGCTTTTTGGCAGCAGTATAAATGCCATTTGTCTGTATTACAGAGCAGCCCCTGATGAAAGGCTATATTGCTGTTGTTTTACTAGCCTCTATCCCTTCATCAACAAAACAAAGCAATGCCTGCTTGGGCACACCAAAGTTATTTTTGAGAATGTTGACACAAGCTACAGAATATACCTCCACCACCCGCTCCATACAATGCAGGGGTGCCTTGAAAACCAGGGACACCACTGCCAGCCTTGGCTTTATAATAATCCTGAGCCTGGGCTCTATAATAATTTGACATGGATGGGTCAAAACCTTTCTTAGATCTTTCCTTCATTCTAGACTCCTTGATGTGGTCTCCCTTTTCAAGCAGAGGCACAGATTCTTTAATTGCAAACATGCCCCCATATAGGGTTTTCCAAACCCTCACAGGGTTTGAAGGGTTCACGTCCACATGTTGGGCTCTAATCACTCTGCAGAAGTTATGACTGTAGTTCTTTATAAATGCTGACAACACATCAATGCAGCAAAAAGTGTTGCGTGCTGTAAAATATCTCCACTCTATTGGTTTAGAGCGCCCTGTTAAAACGCTCTGTGATAGAAGTTTTACTTCATTATTTGCCAAAAAAAAAATTGGTGAACAGTACACTGTTTTAACAGCTTATTTAAAGGTTGGTTTAAAAATTCTTGTGTTGAGTTTGTAATTTCTCAGCCTAGCGCTCCCTGATAAAAATTCTTGTAAAAGCCCCGGCTATTTCAGAACCTGTTTTGCCTTGTAGACCAATGGCCCAAGCATGCTTGGGTAATATGTCTGTCACCATTAGGTTGCAGTGCTGTAGCATTTGGAAGACTGTTGCATGTCCACCAAGTCTGCCTGCCACTGTGCATCCACTTCTGTTACAACCACCTTAGTTCTTTTAAAGTGTTTTCTTGCTGCCTTGTGTAAGCTGTAAGAGTCCTGGTTTGCAAGCCAGCCTTCTCTTCAAATGGGCAATTCACCTTTTAGCAGCTTCAAAAAGGTCATTTATACCTCCATAGCTTCCCAGCTCCTTAGGAGCATTACAAATGTCTTAACAGAAGTGGAGGTGTAGACAAATCTACTGACACAGCACTACTAAACATGTACAAAATATACTACTAGACTATTAATTTAACACAAATACAGAGAACATTTATTAACAGGGTGTGAGGTGTGCTGGTTGCCAGTCAGGGTTCTCCAGGCTTTTTCCTTTTTTGCCACTGAACACCACTGTCACTTCCATACCTGTTCTTTTTCTTTGGCTGCTACTGTCTTGGACGGGAGCACCAGCAGGTCACAGCACACTTCTGGGTTCTCCATGATCAGACTGCCAGCCAGAGTTTTTTTAAATGTTCAGTAGGGTCATTGACCTTATAGACTGTAAAGGAAACACATATAGTACCAGCCTGCGCCCTGTCAGGGTCTTACAGGTTGCTGTAAGATCCACCAGAACCACTGGCAAAGGGAGCTCCCTGCCATCATCTGCCCTCTCTGTGCCACACCTTGAAATGTAATTTGTGGTTCACAGACCCACCAGCTGGTTCTCTGGGTTGGCGTGAGCTTTTTGGGGAATCCCGTAGGATCCTACCAGCCAATCACGGTAGATCAGAAGAGGGGAGGGACTTCTGGGACAAAGTCTGCCTGCTGTATGGTCCTTCCATTGCTCCCAGTAGTGCCTGCAGGGGAGAAGGCATTCCCCCCCAAGCAAACCAGGCAGGATCTCCAACCTCCCATCAGGTCAATTACAGCATACAAAACAGCATTTGCCATTTACTAGGGGCGAATTAAAAGGGCAATACTTGAACATTTAATCAGTATTTATGTTTTCATTTCCAATCTCGTTACAGCTGGCACTGCAGACAGACCATGTGGAAGGGTTCCAGGCAGGTCCCACACTCCTTCTGCACAGTCTTGCCAGAATCATGGGTACAGCCACCAGCTGCAAGAGGAGGGGCACAGCTGAGCATCTCCTCCAACTGGCTATCCAGGGCTGCCAGGCTATTTCCCAGGTAAAGACACAGTGTAGGAAGCACTCCATTCCCCTGGGCATGCATGGCCTTAGCTTTTGGCTCCTCAACAAATGGCCACCCCCACCAGCTGTGGCAGAGCAGGGTCCCCAAGCCCCTGCTTGCCACAGCACAGGGGCAGCTTGTTGCTTACTCAAGAGCAAACAAGAGTGATATTTAAGGCTGAGCAGCCTTAAGTCTCCCATGGCTGCAGAACACACCTTTTCATTTGTGCATAAGTGCTGTGCCCGAACATCATCACAGCAAGGGCTGTCTGCTCCCCAAGGGAAGGTGAGCTGGGAGCCGAGGTGGACCCCAGCACAGACAGTGCCTCACCAATGGGGCACAGCTGGGTGTTGGTAACAGGGTCCATCACCAGTCCCAGAGAAAGCAAGTGATAAACCAGGTCCAGAATCCATCTGGGGAGTGCAGTCAGAGGAGATGGGGCTGGAGATGGGACTGGAGACAAGCTGCAACATCCAGACAAGGGGGCCATGGAGGAGACAAGATGCCTACAGCATAGGTCCGAGCTGCCTCCAGGAGACAGGGCTGGGGACTGAAGGCCCATGCCTGAGCTGAAATGGGGCTCACACAGGTAGGGTGAGGGATCGGGGGGGGGGGGAGTGAAGGCCCCAGGTAAGGCTGCTCAGGCACCTGAGCTGCGTTTTGTGCAGCCTCCCTTCTCAGCAAGGGATGTCATCATGCCTTGCAGAGATCTAGGTTTAAAGTTGGCTTGCTGGGGGTTGTAAGGAGTCACAGATCCTGTAGCCAGGCAAAGTATAGCTGTGTGCTCCGGCTTGCTTTATGAAAAAAAAAAAAAAAGAAAAAAAATCCAATCCCCAAAATTGAATAATCCAGCCTCCCATTCATCACAGTTAAGCTAACACACTCGTTCAGACGAGAAACAGCTGCTTGCTGAGGATTTTATTCCATTACAATACTGCCACCTCTTGTTCATCTGCAGGTTTTATTTTGCCCAGCTCCAGCCTGTGGTGTGGATCCACAACCAGCGCAAAGGCATTAAGCCCCCACTTTGTCTGTTAAACTGAAACCTTACAAGGAATAGCAACTGAGTGGTTACATCATGTACTTCCACAGAAGTTACAAACAGGTAGAAAGCCTGAAAACATCCACAGACATGTTACTTCAGTGTGGACTGGTACGTAACTGTTTTGTCTGGTAACTGATAGAATGAAGTACTGAAAGAAGGCAGGGCGGGGGAGGAAGCCAATAACAAAACCCAGAACCCAAGCAGCAGCAAAACCCACCACAGCAGAAAACATCATAGGATTTTTCCAGGGAGTACTGTGTCCATGCAATGGTATCTTCAAACTCGCTGACTTCTCCTGATGTGAATCTCCATTGTCCTCTCAGTACGTGCTCCATTTTCTACCCCAGAGGTTGCCACCCAAAGGCATACATTTTCTTGATGCTGCTTAATGAAGAGCGGCGCCTGTTTTGCTTCCACCAGGGACACCAAGTCTGTGAATTGTGTGGAAACCTTCTGCAGAAGACTTGGCTGCAGATGAGCAATGTAAGTTGATCATCTTTGTCTTTGAGTTTCTGACTAGGTGGTTTCTGGGAAGAGGTTCAGCATGCCCTGAAAGCAAGTGGACCAGAAGACGGTGGATCATACTCTGTGCTAGAAGGAACATGGGGAAAGCTCACAGATGGCAAGGAGAAGAGACAAACAGCACAATCCATCTGGGCCCCTTTGTCCTGCAGCTTGCCATTCAACTAGCTCGCTTGGCTGGGGTTAGACTAGTGACAGAGATGGGGTTTCTGCATGGGTTCCCTGATTTCTAGCACTATATTTCATTTTTATGTCTTTCAGGAGGATTTAGAGGTCAGTTATAAATAATACCAACTTGTGATTTAACACGTCTTTGCTATGGTTTTTCATGATGTCTCTGTGTTGCAGTCTTGGTGTGTACAGTAGTTGAGAAGGGGTGTAATATATTTAGCCAGACCCAGGTGCTCGGAGCTGCCAGAAGCCCCAGAAGCTGACAAGGAGCCCAGGCCTATAGCAGTGATCCCCTAGGCAGTGGAGGCAGCAGAAGCTGCTTGTCAACCCACTGCACAGAAAGAAGGGACCTGCCAGCCAGTCTGTCAGGAGCAGTTTTCTCTTCACATCTCTTTCCAGCTGGAACATCCAGTCAAAAAGAAAATTATGATCTTGAAATGGAGTTGCCAGCAGGCAAGCAGATTTACCATTGTTGAATCCTAATGGGCTGACACTTGAGTCAATGGGGTTTTTTGACTTCATACTCAATAAACACATTATTTCTGAACGATAGGATTGAGTCCAAACTTTCCTGCAGCCCCCTCTGCTGTCTAAACCCAAGAAAAACCCTTAAAAGCTGCGGTGCTTGTTTTGAGTGCTCAGTTAAGTTGTGTGTGGGGCCCACCCTGGCAGCGGTAGTATGCCCCCTGGCCCCCCTACTGATGTCGACTAAGACAGCCTCACTTTCTATTCTCATAGGTGCCCCAATCCAGCCACAGGGCTCCATTAGCTTTTCTGCAGACTCTAGAGTCAGCAGAGGCACAGGATAGTCCAAGAGAGGTTTATTCCTGCACAAGTCTTTCCATGACAGGTCAGAACCATGGCAATAGGCATTTGGTCTCTCCACAAGCTGCTCTGGGAGGCTGTCCCCCTTTCTGCTATCTGCAAGACTGTCCTTCTGTTTCATCCAGCAATCTGTTGAGGCATGTGTCCTTGATGTTGATCTCGTGACTGACCTTGTACTCTGGATCAATGCCCACAGAGAACTGGGTAGGAGCTGCTCTGCTCCTTCTCTCTTCCTTTTAAGTGGGTAAAAAAGTGATACCTGCAGAACCCAGACCCTTTGAAAAGAAGATGTGATGCTGAGATTGCTACAAGGCCACATTCAGTTCCTCTTGAGCTGCATGGTCCTCAGCTGTGTGATAGGAGCCAACTCTCCCACTTGGGCCAAGAGAGGCTGTCCTGGTGCATGGGGCTGTTCCTCCCCAGAGGCATTTCCCTGTGTTGAACTGCATGGTTCACTTTGGACCATTGTCCAGGTCATTAATAGTATGCTGAACGGTACTGACACCAGTTTTGCCCCTGGGGTATACCACTGACAACTGGTCTCCAGCTGTCCATCTCCCACAGCACCTGTCAGGCACTGGGGTGCATCCTGGAGGGGCTGCTGGGAGCTGGGACCATTAGGGGCTGCCCGCAGGGTGGCAGGGCAGAGCCTCACAGCCAGACCCGTCCCAAGCCCCAGAGAGGGAGCAGGGCAGGCCAGGGGGCATCAGATACCTCCCCAGGGATGGGGATGGGCCAAGGCCAGGCTGGTATATCAGCCCATGGGGCCCATGGCTGAGCAGGACACTGCTGTGGGGAGCTGGAGACCAGCATCCTGTGGCATCAGTGGGGCATGGGCTGAGAGCCTCAGGTAGGGCTGAAATGGGGTCCTGGGCAATGGGCAGGATGGGAGAAGACATGGGAGGGCAGGAATGGCCCTTGAGACCCATGGTTGCCCTTGGGGACATTACAACCTCCTGTTCAAAGGACACTGGAGACCCCCAGGGGCATAGGCACTCCCCTGCTTCTAAAACACTGTGACAGAGTGTCTACAGCCCTCAAAAGGAAAGGTGAAATCAAAAGATCTTTTAAACGAAAAATGCTGTCATCTCATGTTATTGATTTTAGGAGTGAATAATATGCAAAAGCCAACTCTATCCTGACTGTTACAGCACAGGTTTCCCTCCTCACCTGCTTTTTTAATCTGTACAATAGGAATAACTGTAATGTAATCTAAGTGGCCGTGAGCATAATCAGTGTGGTAAGAGCCCTCAGGCTGGTGCACACAATCTCTCAGAGAGTATTCTCATAATAACAGTGTAATGCAAGTGAACCATAAATCCCAGTTGCCTTAAGTTAGGTTTTGGAGTTATGGTTTTGATCTTTATTTAAACCATGTTTATAATTTTAAGCACTATGATCAGGCAAAGCAAGAACTATAAAATTAACACACAAGCTGTATCATTCTTGACATATTTTAGTCCAGTATTTCATGTTTCAGTCCAATTTTGTGTAAATAAACCTTCAGTAAAAATGTTATGTGTTGAGACAATCTACATGGGACTCAGTTCACTGAGATGGCTGTGGTACCTGGGGCTGGACTCAGTGCTGAGGGGATCAGCGAACAGCCAGCCGACATGCTCCATGCCTGAAAGCATCCAGCACCTAAATGTAAATGCTTTTTATTGCGTGGGGGGGGAACCAAACCCAGATGCTACAAAAATTATTTAATTCCACAAGAAATCAAGAGTAAATGCCTCTACAGTGTCTCTGGGAAATACCGTGAAGACATCTGCAAGCACAGTTGCCCATTTACAAAACCTAACACACACCTCCAGCCCTGAGAATGCACTGTCACACCTCTCTCTCCTGCAGGCCAGCACCTACCTATGGGCGCAAAAACTGCAGTCACAGCTGGTCACCACCTCTGCCTGGAAAATCCCACTGCTCCATCCCTGCTCACTTCATATCCTTTTCTCTTTGTAAAGTCCTCCCTGAATAGTGTTCCCATGTTCCCATCATTTGCTGCACGACTCCTGCCCTACTTTAACACTCCCCTCCTGCCCCCCTGCAACACACAGAGCCCCCCCCAGATCAGTACTACCATGCCCGTGCACCACATCCCCCAGCCCTGTGCCCCCATCTGCTCCACCAGCCTTCACACTCTGTCTGGACGTTTCCAGCTGCCATTTATTTTCTCTTCCTCTGGGCTAAGAAGAGCTCATCCCTGTCCTGGAATATAATAACAATAACAATAATAGTAATAACAATGACAACAACATCAACAACAAACAGCAATAATAGTAATAATAATAGTAATAATGATAGTAAAACAAACAGTGGCATGTCTCTTTCTGCAATCAGTTTTTCTGTACCTGTTTCAGCCAGGCTTGCTCATGTGCCCTTACCCTTCAGGAATAAAGCAAGTGCCTTACAGAAATCTCTTTTTTCTCACAAGTGTCTGGATTTCTCACCTAAATTTGCTCCTTTCAGCATCAAATATGAAAACCTGTTTGGAGGAGTGCTTTTCCCACATGCCTGCCTTGGCCCATGCAGCCCCTCATCTCCCTGCTGATCGAAATCAGAGCTGATTCTGGCACGGACACCCACAGATGGATTGTGATCCAGGGAGAGGCAGGAAGTTCCTTCAGTGGTCCCTCTTTTATGGGAATAAAACGCAAAGCAGCAAAGATGATCCTGCCCACGGTGGTTGCCCCCCTGCATTGCCTTCCCAGCCCAGTCCCTGCAGCTGGGATGAACCCTGCCCTCTCCCAAGGGAAAACCTGAGGTCTGAAGTGCCTGTGCTCATCACGGTCCCTCTGGGCGCTGGTGGGGCAGGGAGCAGCCATTGGCCAAGCCAGTGCCAGAAGACATGAACCTCATTTTCCAGCCCTGTCCTGACCTGGCTGACAGCCTGGCGAAAGCACGCAGTAATGCAGGTGGTTGCAGTAATTTTGGAGTAACCCTCAGCCTCTCCGTCTGAGTGCTAGGGATTCCCGTGTGTGAAATGAAAACATCTTCCAAAACACGTCGTCAGAACAGTGACTTTATTAACAGAGACAAACGAAGGACTAAACACACAGTATACCTATGGAGGACAGACGTATTTATATACATCAGTTCATTGTAGAAACGTGAGCAATTTGGTCTAGATGACTAGGATATCCCCTGGTAGTTTGCAACGGATCCAGACAGCTTTCTCTCCGTGGTGGCTCCGGTAAACCAACCGATCTCCCCCCCCAGTCCCACCCCAGCCAGGCTAGTGCCAGACCCCTGAACATCACCGGTATCTCGTTCGGGACTTTCTCCAGCGCGGGCTGAGCAGGCGGTGCGGGTAAAACCCCGCCGCGGGCTGCCCGCCGCTCCCTCCGGGCTGTGCCGAGTTGGGCCGTCTCAGCTGCGGGGCAAGAAAAAGGGGGTCAGGGTGCTTTGAACACATCCGCCCCCCCCCCCCCCGGGGATCCCCTGGCCCCGGACCCTCCGGCCGGCAGCGGGTGGATGTTCCCCGCCTCGGGAAGGAGCCGGGCACCCGCGGGCACGGCACGGGGCCAGCCCCGCGCCCGGGCACGGCTCGGCACGACTCGGCTCTGCACCGGTACGACACTTCAGCTCCCGGTACCGGCAACTCTACTCGGCAAGGCACGGGCTGGGTTTTTCTTGGATGGACAAAATCAAACGGGGAAGGAGGGAAGGGAGGGGAAGGGGGGCGGGAGGGGGGAGAGAAAGAAAACAGCTCCACGGATGTCGGATGTCACGGACGGCGTTACACGGGCGACGCGGGGGCTTCTCGCTGCCTTTCTCGGGCGGACGAGCCGCGGGAAGTCGCCGCCGCCGCCCCGGGCCGGCACGTCGGGGCGGGGAGACGTCGGTGCCTGCGCTCCCGGCGGCTTGTCCCGCGGCGTCCCCGCTTACAGGCACTTGAGGAGGAAGGAATTGCACGAAGTCCCCCGCGGGCAGTCGCAGAGCTTCCCGATGCGGGCCCCCTTCCTCACGGCGCACTGCTCCCCGGCGTCGCACTGCGGGCAGCGGCAGGCGGTGAGGGGGACGCTCCGCCGCGTCCCGTCCCCTCCCGTCCCGTCCCGTCCCGCCCCGCCGGGGCACTCACCATGGGCACCTGCCCGAACTTCTTCTCGTAGTGCGGGACCCGCTTGCTCTTCAGCTTCTCCAGCACCTCCTGCAGCGCCTCGATCTGCCGAGAGACCCCCACAGCCCCCGTCAGGCCGCGCCCGGCCGGGCGGCGCCCCCCGCCCCGGCCCCGGCTCCCCGCCCCACCAGCTCCTTCTCTCGAGAAGCG